CTAGGCAATATTTTATAATACAGACCATCTGGGGCCATTATTTTGTTCAGATGTTTAGGATAGAATTAAAACAAAATGAATATCGTCAGCAAGAAAAAATTTTGAACATCACAGCTGGCTAAATGAAAAGTGCACTATTCAACGATTGCAGACTTTAATTGAAACGTGCATTATGCACGGTGTATTGTACTGAAATGAGGTTCTCATTTTTCGAGCCATGATTCTGTTTTGGTAACATAGTTTCTTTCACATCAGGCATGCTGGTCCTTCCCTCTTTTGCATTTTATGGCGTGATCCTTTACGGGCAGTTGCTTTCACATTTTCGTCATGGCACTAGCAAGGGTGCCATTCTAAAATAGTTCACTCTCACTCTTACAAACAGTTGTCAAGAGTAACCGACTATGCATTAAGAGTATGATCTTCAACAAATATCCTTCTTATCGTTTCATCATTGTACGCTTGGAATATTGGAAAATTCTCTTGCTGCCTCGCTGAGAGCACATCGTGTGACAGCCAACGCGTTAGACGAAACACACTCGACACCGCGACTCCTCGTCCTCCGAGCCACAGTTTCGCGATTAATTGAAAACGAAAAGCAGCGGCGACGTAACGGTTTTGCACACGTGTGTCAGCGAAATGTCGCGGTGTTTGTTCTGTCTCTTTCTCTCTCTCTGTCTCTTTCACTCGAAAACTCGTGCGCAACGTTATTAACCACGTTGCGCTGGCAACTGATTGCGGACCATAACGAGTGACCAAACCGTACATATTTTCGAACTCGACGGTATGATATATCACTGGACAGAAATTACTGACAAGTAATAAATTTATTATTTGTTTCGCCTATTTCGTTTCACGTAAATATACTGAAAAACTGAGAGAACATTACGATTTTGGGACAAAAAGTTCTCGACAGCGCAGCGCAAGAAGTCTCTCCTCTCTTAATTTCCAGAGCGAAACACGCCGCGAACACGGGAATTCCGCGCTTCGAGTAACATAAACATTTGCTAAACCTTCGTTTTGGGTGGAGAGGGAGGAGAACGGGTGGGAAGAAATGCCCGGAGGGCCGTACAATAGGGCGAACGCGCGAGCAAACTTCCCGCATAAACGTTCCCGCTGTTCCAACCAGTATACTTTAAGGTTAAAGCAAACAGCGCGCGGCTGGAGCTATCGACCGAGACAAGCTGCATGTATACTTGACTTGCCCGAAAAAATGTCTTCCTCGTCTTCGAGGGGTGTGTTCGAAGTGAAATGCAAACAAGCTCCGATCATGCGTGTGCCTGTCTCACGTTAAATTCGAAAGTCGTTGATTTCGTCGATTGACACGGGAAACTGTATCTTCGATGAATTGTATCTCCGAGATACTTTCAACAAAATATAGGGTTGTTCGGAAATTAATTTTGCTGTTTTCGACGAGTTGGTGTATTTTTTAACATTTTATAACAACATATAAAAATATGTTGTGAAATATTTTTTAACAACACCCCCTTGAAAAAGAAACAAAGGCGCGGCTTATGTATTTTGACAGCCAACCAAGGCTAGTTTTTAAAAAAAAATTTTAAAAATAAGCCAACCAAGGCTTTTTTATTAATAAAGGAATAATTAATTTTATACGTTCATTAATAATAATGTGATTTATTTTATGTTCATGTAATGTTGGTTCTCCATTTTCTTTAAATTTAATTAGAGAAATTATATTATTGATAAATTTTATTTCTTGATTTAAACATTTATTTATAATTTTTATAATTTATTGTTTATTATCTTTTCATTTATTCAGTATATTTATTTATTATACATGGAAAAAATTTCATAAATTTTAAAATTTATAATTGTAAATTAATAAATTTTTTAATATTATTAATTCGTTTAATTCCAGTAAATATATTATTTTTTTAATTTAATAATTCATTTAAATAGTTTAATAAAAATATTGAATTGTGATTTCAAAGATATATTATTTATATATTTTAAATTATTATAAAAATATTAATTTTTAGAATTATATTATTATTATTTAGTTTACTTATATTATTTTTTAGTATATATTTTATATTATTTAATTATGAATTAATTTTAGAATGAAATATTATAAGATTAAATTCAATAGAAATAAATATATTTTCAATTATAAATTATAAAACTTTATTTGGCTGTCAAAATATATAATGACAATACGATTGCATCCTAACTTTGAAGGTAGTTTTCATCCCTTCAACATTGACGATATCCGATTAAGAAAAAAAAAATCACGAATCATGTCAAATATTTTTTCGAAAGCTACATTTACGCCAAATTTCATCGGAATCGATGACTGACAGCTCGTATGTTCCTTTATCGATTTGAATTGCGCGGAGTGAATAATGCTCTTAAAAGTTTCACTAAAATTTCTTAAAAGTTTCTCTTAAAAATTTCTCTTATACGCGAACGTTTAATGTTTCGTGGATGAACGTATGACGACGATTAATTCCATTGTTGCCCCGGATCGAGAGGAATTAGAATTCTTTTCTGGGTTTCTGGGTTTTCAGATGTTGGAAATTCGTAATATCGTAGATTTGTTGTAGAATTCGTTCGCTGATTGAGGTGCTACTGTTTCAACAAGATTAAGGATTTAAGGAATTCATTTATTGGAGTAACTGAGAGTGAATCTGTCGCTATGGTCAGAGAGTGATCAATGATTTTCTTCAAATTTCGAAGCGTGTCTTTAAATTAGTGTTATAGAAGAAAGTATAAATAAATATTTCGTGTATAACTTTCACGGCTAATCCTTTCAAGAAACAATGAATCTGCTCAATTATCAACAAATGAACAGCAAAATATTTAGAAAGAGGAATTTTATTTATTAAAGTAATTGAGAGTAAAGCTGCCATGATAATTTTTTCCCAATTTCGGAATGTATCTTCAAATTACCAGAGAGAAGATATAAGTATTTTCGCGGCTCGGAACACGCAAGTGATCCTTCGTTCTGAAAAGACAGAACAAAAAACAGAAACGTTCTCGTGAACTGTTCAATGAATCTGCTCGATCGTTAACAAATCAACAGCAAAAGATGTCGAAAATATACGGACGAGAGGAATCGGTGAGAAGCACGACAGACACGACAACTGGAGCACAATGGGAGCTTCTCGTTTGCAACGTATGCCCCGAAATGAATTCCCTCTCCGAGCTGCACGACTTATCACTGTTCGCTCCGTCTAACCGCAAACGTTCCATCACCGAACAAGCTGGCTTCCTCGTCATCCGACCTGTGCCTCTGACGCAGTTCGTCCCGAACCACCTGCCACCCTACGGAAAAGACAGTGTCCCAGCTTGCAAAATCCTCCGTCTCCGCGCGCACGCCTTGAAAACGACTTCGTAATCCCAGGTCATCCGGGTGTCAAACGCAAAATCGGACCAGGAACTTGCCAGCCGGAGAGAGAAAGAGAGAGAGAGGGAAATCGTTGCGCAATTCCCGGAAGAATCGAACGATTCTGGGACGACAGCTCCTGGGGATGGTTACACAGCACAAGTTGGTAGCATTGCTTGATAAAAGTGCAATGGAACCTTCGTGACGCGGGATAAAACGATCCGATAGTTTAGTCCGAACTTTCAAGGAATGGGATAACGAGCGTTGAACTCTTGGATTATACGTAAGGCGAAGGGACGTACCAGCGACAGTGAAAAATTGCACCTTGGCAAAGAATGATCGTCTAACCACTTGATTTCGTTTTAGAGCGCGACGTTTCTATTTTGATCGGGAACGTGTTTTCTTTCGAGAAGACGATATCATTGTGTAATGAATAAAGATACTTTTATTTTCCCTGAAAATTGTAAAAATTATCACAACAAAAATTTTTTTCACAACTGAATCTATTTTAGTTTTGAAGAGTGAAACTTGCCTTTTTCAACGACCTATTCAAACTTGCTGTACAATTTTTTTTTACCATTTTATTGAACTT